CTTCAGTAGACGGCTGCTACCTTCCCACAGTTGCTCCTCACGCCCGCATGTTGTCCATGCCGGAATAGAAACAGCCTGCACTTGGGGGGGTTTCCTGCATTTCGGGCAATGTGAACTCGAGTGACACAGCCAGCGGAAACCATTTGATTTGTTAACGTTGAATTGCAGTGATTGCCTGTGCAATGCGCCATTATAATCTCAGGCTCGGGCAAGAAAAGAGAGGAAAATGGGGGTGGGGGGGTGGGTGGGTAGTGCGTCCTGCAGAGGTAATTTGCCTCTGGCCTTAAAGAGCTTATTCGCGCTGCAGAGAATGTGACACAGGCTAATGGAGAAGGAGGACATCATCAGGAAATGGGCAACACCGGCAGTGCTGTAATGTATAAGGCATTGATGCATTCGCAAATAGTCAAAAGACGACACCCCAGCTTGAAGCCTATTCAGTGGAGGAAGCACCCTGCCTCAGGGTCTTCTCTCTCCCTGGCTGCTCGGCCGCCATCCTTAATGGCACCAGGTGGAGGGAGAGGTGTGCCTCTCAGACAGTGTGCTTGCGTACAGGCTGATGCGTCTCCTCCTCGATGTGTCAAACCGCAACCTGCTCCCTGGTTGGCTGCCACCACTTGGAAGCCCGTGACGCCTTCGATGTCGCTCCAGGGGCAGGTCTCGCGGTCGGCTGGGTGATGGAGAGGCTGACACTTCTCAAAGACGTCGCCGCGGGCCGAGAGACTCCCCACTTCTTAACTGCACTTCAGGTCAACCCGTGCTGAGGCGGCTTCCACTGCAGGTTAACCTGGCTAACAGTCTGTCTGCCCTCCACCATTACCTGCTCTCACTAGCATTTCTCGCACGGGAAAAAAAATGTGGTACCACCAACCTGCAGTCTGACAGTCAGTCTCCATGTAACCAGTGCGTTCTTCATACTAAAGAAAGTCGCCTTTTACTGTGCTGCAAAAACACCAGTTTATTTATTTATTTCACAATTCATTGTTGTTTCTGGTAATTGTAATGATTCCCGGTTATCATTGTGTTATTTACTAATTTGAGAGAAAGTCTTTTTGAAGTGAAGATATCGCCTGGAGAAATGATTAGCTCTTTACAGATGCCACCCACAAAATCCCATGACCCTCCGAGTGGAAGCTGCAGCAAACAAGCCAATTAGCAAACAGAGAACCTGCAGCCTGTTATCATTACTCTTCTTATTGTTATTTCTGTGGCAAAAATTGGACAATGCCTCTTCAGGCCCTAGAACTAGTGGCGCTGCAGTAATGGAGGCATCTAGCACCTGTGTCTGGTGCCTGTCTGCAGCGTGGGATGGGGGGGTGGGGGTATCGCACTTTAGGCCGTGGGTAACTCTGGATGTGATTGTGACCGCTGTGGACTGCTCCTTCAGAAGCACTAAATGAGCGAAGCGCAGCAATCAGGCCACATTGTGCCTGTGTGTGTGTGTGTGTGTGTGTGTGTGTGTGTTTGCGTGTGTGTAGAATAGGTTAATATTACAAATGCAATAAAAACTTTTTTTTTTTTTGGATTTTGTGGGGACCATTTTTCAGGTTCCTACGAAGATCTGTGAATGCAGTCAAAAAACCAAAAATGCCAAAGTTTCATATTTTGTTTTGTTATTGTGGTTAAGGTTAGGGCTTGGTAGGGGTTAAGGTTGTCATTTTTAGAATTAGGGTTTTGCCCATAGAAATGAATGGATGGTCCCCAGAACGATATGAATACACGTCTGTTTGTGTGTGTGTATATGCGTGTGTGTGTGTGGGTCCGTACTTCTTTGCAAATTTGTGTCTCTGGGGCTGTAATTGGACCTGAACTAATATACGCCACTTGTGCTAATATCCTCTATAGTATTAAATGTTGCCAGGTAACAAGCCTATTAGCAACCAACAGATATGGAGACTGAATAAACAAAGTCTGATTTCAGAAACATTGAGAAAAGAAATGGATTTAGTGAAATGATCCAATGCCTCCGCGCCCTCGTAGCAGAAACAGTCACCTGTAGCCCGGGTCCCTGCATAATGCATTACCTGCCCCAGGTCAGCGCTCACTGGCTGATTCACTAAGTACTAGCACGGTGTTGAGGCTGGCCGCTCCCTGACAAGGACTGCCCTGGCACCCAGTGGGCGAGGCCTCGCCCCAACACGGCGTAGGCGTTCCTCGACACCTGGAGGTCTGAAGGTCACAGGTCCATTCAAAGAGCAGCGAACCGGGCTGGACTCCCACCTCCTATCCGGATGTGACTCCAAGCCCTGCCGCCCCGCGGAGATCAGGGGTGTGTCACCTGTCCTTCGTACCCACTAATGAGATGGAATTTAATTAAGGAAGTAAAAGTGGCAAGTGGGTCCCATGGGAGTGAAGGGTTCTTCATTGTCTGTCCAAATACCAGACGGGGGGTCTTGGGGGGGGGGGGTCCTCATGCATATGAAAAGCAGGTCCATGGTATAGCGTGCGCCGGGACTCGCTCGAGGGAAGAGGAGGGTCTGGGGAGGACGGCGCAGGGAGCGTGCAGGCCGGGGTGATGGAGTGTTTAATGTGCAGGCCATCGCGGTGAACGCCAAGGAGTCGCAGAGACACTTCATCAGGCAGGACCTCGGGGGAGCGCCAGCTAACGAATTACAGATTAGATCATTGTTATAAGATCATAACAGTGATCTAATTGCTAATTTCTAATATAATTGAATTTGGTGGAGTGTACTCGTTTGTGGTGAAGGACGGAGAATCACAGACCGGCGACTCCAATGGTCTCAGCCTGCTGACCAGGTTGGGCCTCTACCCATGTGAGGACCTGAGATACCAAATAAAGATATCGATCTCCATGGCCAAAGACATCAATTAACTATCAATGTAGTTCTTAATTTTGTGTAATATAATAATTCTATAATAATATTTAATTTTGTAGTAATAAAAGCTAACAATAACATGGAATAGTTTGCGAACGCTTCAGACACCTCATTATGCTCTATTCTGCTGGTTTTAATGGAGCTCAGCTGTGTTTTCTGATTACTGCACCAGTTAAACAAGATGCGATAAAGCGGGAGGCAGCTTTGAGCCCCTGTGTAAGCCCCCACGACAGCCATCGCACTGCTGGGAGGGTCACGGGGATGGGGAAGGCGGGGAGTGGACATTCGTGCTTGCATGCTAGTGCGTGTGTATTTGTGTGGGTATGTGTGTGTGTGTGTGTGTGTGTGAGAGAGAGAGAGAGAGAGAGAGAGAACTGAGGATGAGAACGGTTTAGCATTTGTGTTATCGTTGAGAAAAGCCTAAAATGTATATGTGCAGTAGGGGAGCAGTGTGGTTAAAGGGGGGGAGGTTCACCTGACACTGCTGCCGTTCAGCACCTGTCAGCCTGTACAGTGGGGAGAGCCAAGGAGGACCCTTTGCTAGGGACTGCCAGCAAAGCTCTCTCTCCTGATATCATTCCACCGCTCTCTTCCAGCCCTTCCCTCTCTCTCTCTCTCTCTCTCTCTCTCCCACTCACAGTCTCTATCTCCCTCACTGTCTTTGTGATGTTTTCAGAGTGTGAGCAGAGCAGGCGAGTAAGCATAGCGTGTGCGTGTTTTCTGCGTGAGGTAGCTGCGTGTGCCTGATTCTGCTGGCTCTAAGCTATGTGCAAACGCGCTCGCAGCAGGCTCAGCCGGCACCATTGAAGCCAGTACTTCCTCTCCTGGACTGCCAGGCAAATCGCATCGCAAGCCACCCCAAGCCTCTCTCTTTCTCTCTCTCTCCCTCCCTCACTCTCTCTTTCTCTCTCCCTGTCTCTCTCTCTCTTTATATCTCCCTCTCGCTCACTCAGTTCCCCCCCCACTAACATCTTCAGCAGAAGAAGCGAAAAGCCCCTTCGCTGGCCAGCCCAGGGATACCAGCTGAAAGAATGAGGCTTTGACACTGCGTGGGACTGGACTGACACGCGAGCGTGACCGTAAGTACACGAGTCCTTCACGTCTCCACACGGACCAGTGGGCACACACGCACACACTTCTGTGCACACACGACAGCGAGCAAACTAATCAAAAGTGGACGTTTATTCACAGTATTTCACTTTCCATGATATCTTACGCATGTCCTTCATACGTATGCTTAAATGCTGTAATCTGTCGTACTGTGCTGTGAGCTTTTAGACTTATAACTGCTGAAAACATCTACAAGGTCAGGAGAAACGAACAAGAGTTCTGGTGTACAGAATCCAATGCTGTGGGACGAGCCTTTCAGGGAACAATGTCAGTCTGTATTTAGTCTATTATTATCATTATTACTACTATTATTATTTTTATTGGTAATAGTAGAAGTGGCTGTAATAGAAGTAATTTATATATTTATTATTACCCTTAAATTTATGCCAAGGCTTGTACATACCGATTCAATAAAGTCCTTTTTTTAATATATTACTTTTGCCGTTTTTTTGATTGGAAGAACTATTGTGCGTGTAACAAATCTGTAGTTCTCTTTGTTATGAAGAAGGTTATACATGTACATGGAGCAAAATATTTACATGACGGGCCATTTTTGTGATGAATTTTTGCCTGATGGAGGTACATCCCAATGGGAAGTAGAATATGTGGATTCATGTGGTAGGATATCCAGTGTCGTTGGAAGAGATGCAGCGGAATTCTAACATAGCGCGACAGCACAGCTACGTACCGACAGAGAGCAGAAGTTTCTCTATCGTATTTTCTACCTTCTCTCAACAATTTTCACTGAACCACAGTGGGATCTCGACACTGTGATTTTCACATAGTCTAAGGTTAATTGATATATTTTAACTTGGCTTTGAGTTGCGTTTTCGCTTGAAGTAGCCTCCACTTCCACTTTTCATCACAGGGAACATAATATGATCACACAGCCTTGACTGCAAAGCCACGGAGTGACTCTGCACAGGCTGACCGCTGGCAGTAACCCCAGAGTGGACTTCTGTAAGCAGGAACCGGCATTACCAGGCAGACCTGGTCCCCTTCCGTGCTGATCATTAGGAACACATGAAGCTGCGATTGGGTGTCATTTTTTTGGCTTTTAGAGACTATAAATTAACCACGAAGCCAAAATCAGCAACCCAAACAAGCAGCCTGGTATGAAGGAGGTGCCACAATCTCACTCGTGGCTTCAGTGGGCTCCAGGAAGGAATTTTGTGCTATGGTCTTGTTAGTAGTAACTAAAGTGAACCAAAATATGAACAAAAATAATAATAATATTAATAATAAATCTCACATTGACATACCCCAGCACAGAGAAATGGTGAATCAATGTATTTGAATACATTTGAATAATCAAGTCATTTTTATTGCATAAGAGGTTTGCATGTCCCAGCACAGTTCAGTGTTTTATTTAAGTCTGATGACAAAGATCAAGTGGTTATATGCAGTATGCAGTGTATGTATGTGTGTTCGTGTAATCACTGTCTGAGCAGGCAGCGGTCTGCACTGGCCGCTTGGCTTCCGTGGCACTTGGTACAGTGTGCTGGAGGAGGCTGACATACCACTGCTCAGAGCAGGAAGGCATCAGGCTGTAAACTTGTTGTGAGGGTGTCTGAAGTGCGGCTTGCCTTTTTACTTCTGCCGCTTTGTTCGCACCTTTGATGTCCCGTATGAAGTGTGCCAGGAAAAGAGCTGAACCACTGGGAAATAATAATAATAATTTTTTAAAAACAGGTGTAGCAAATTTATATGTTAAATTTTCCCTCTAAAACTCATAAATATTGTTTGATATTAAAGTATTTAAATCGATTTGGCATTACTACAAACTTTTTTCTTCCATTTAAATTACATAAAAATATGTTCACAGAGATATTTATGTGTGACTTAATTTCTGATTACAGTGTTAGAATTGGTTATAATGAAACTGAAATGGCTTTCCAGGTTTTATAAGGAAAACTTTTATATGAATATAGAACTCTTGATTACCTTGATTCTCTTGATTATTAATGTTTGTTTACATTTTCATTTTGGCTTAACAATTTATTATTTAAATCCTTATTCAATTACAATATTTGTTGAATATATCAGAGGTAGCCATGGGGCCTTTGCCACCGTACAGGAAAAAAAAACAGAATTTTCCAAATGACACTTTTAAAATGCTACGCATTGCAGTCACATTCTAAAGATGCTTCTCTCATCTTATCAGCTCTGATTTAGTGTTTCTTATATAATTTTACCGAATGCTGCATGTGATTACATATAAGGATTTCCCCATGTATGTTACCTGAAGATTACAGCTCGTAGGATGAATATGCCTTTGTATACATTTTGTCATGCGTGGTTAGATGCAAGGCTATTCAGCTTTCCAATTTGGCTTAAAATCAGTGGCTACAGTCCCATTTGGACTGACGGAGTAACGGGAAGCCTAAAATCAGCCTATTGAATAGCATAAAAAAAATATATATATATATATATATATATATATATATATTCATTTTTAAGTTATGAGTTGAAATAACAGTTCATTGTGTTGGCTATCTTTACTCAAAAGCCACATAACTCAAAACAAACAGCCTGAAATACATGTTGACAGTGTGTGCCTACTGTACCTTTCTAAGATCCACCTATTGGATTCTCGCAGCTGAAATGCTGATGTGCTCTGGTGGAAATGACCACCTTTAGACGTACGGAAGACATGCGACGGCTGCATGCAGTGGGAGCACAGATGTCAGGAAGTGTTGATGTTCCTATACGCGGCTTCCTAATTATTTTGATTTCAGCATATTGACAGTGCATACGATCCATTAGTCATCGTTTCAGTATATACTAATTAGACTTTCAAAAGATATATCCTGTTACCACTGTCACCTCACTAATTATGCATTTTGGTGTCATGAGATACAGGCAAAACACTTGCTTATATATATATATATATATATATATATATATAAAATATATGATGTTTGGCATTGCATTACTAAATGATGGCCAGTATGTATATCTTCATCATTATCCGAGGGTGACGATGAAGAGGAGGGCTGCCTGTAGTGGCCGACTCTCGCCACTCAGAATAACACAGATAAATAGCTGAGGGGGCCCGCCACCGCGTAGCTGCACGGCTCCGTCACGCGTCCGACACGTCTGGCAGGCAGGTGTGAAAGCTGAGGACGGGCCGGGGAATAACAGGAGACGCTACAGGCCAGTTGCTGCGACCCGATTGTGCCATACACAATGAAACTTTTATAATTACTTTCTTGAAATCTCATTTGTATGGTTGTAAATGTAGCTTTATTAACTCTGTAATGGGTACTTGGAATAAATTCTGAGCTCTGAATTGCCTCCATAAGATCAATTGTAAAAGAATGTAATGTTAATACATTCTTGAGCAGTAAAATATTTGTTGTCCCTCAACGATAGGTATATGTAATTCATGAATCTTATTTTACTATTTTGATATTATATTGATTCATATTTCCACAAGAGGATTTAAGCATTACAATATTATATTCCGTGTAATGCTTAGCAATAATGAAAACAAAATACATGAATATCTCTTGCATGCTATTAATGCAAGAAACAAGTGTTATTTCAGTAAGTATATATTTACTAAATTCAGGAATATGTTGTAATTCCCACATGCAAATTTAGAATGTTTTGCATTTTGGCGCAGTAAACAGATTTGTGGTAAAAATAGATCGTTGCCTAGGAATGGACTTCAGCTGATCCATTTGTTTAAAAGCTCCCGTTTTGAAATGGCAGGATGACAAAGCAGACACTGATCGTCAGATGTCCTGCCTCCTGCTTAAGTCTTGCTTTATCGAGGCTTCCTGCACCATTATGAGGACAGACACAATTTTGACACGAGTACTGTTCCGGTACCAGGGGGAACAGATTTTCTGAGGGCGAGCCAGAGAAGTTTCCAGTGTGCAGTACACTGCATAATAAGTGGTAAAAGCGACCTGCTCGGCCGGACTGAGCTAGGAGTGAGGTGTTTCTCGTTCATGGACACTCTTGGCCTCGTACCAACCTCACCACACCAGCGCTGATCACATCCCTGGGAAACACAATCCTCCCCCGTTTTCTCTGGTGCCAGTTACTGTCTGCTCCGGTTACTGGATACTGGGCCTAAGGTGCACTATGGCAATGCCACGACTAGGAATACTTAGCCTGTTTCTTGTATTTATAAGGAGAGCAAATCCTCCTGATTTAATTGTCAAATGAGATTCATTCATCACCTCGTACTGACCCATATAGTTGCAGGGAGTTACTGAAATTAAAAGAAAAGAAGTCTGGCCAGTAACGGTATGTTTACAAACTTTTGCAGCATTTCAGTAGCAGTACCAAGCACTTCAATAAATAAAGGAGAATATAACTAGTAAGAAAAGCATTTTTTATTCCCTTTATTCATTTTTTTCTTCGCTACCTTTTCTCGACCCAATTGAGCCGAAAAGGTCAAGTTTCCATCCGTCGTCTTGGGAAGGAAGAAACAACACAGGGAATTGTAATTCTTCTTTTTTGGGTAAAAATAAACAAATAAAGGTTTTTAATAATGTTTCTCACCAGTGGATGTATATTGTCTCCCAGCAACGTTGGCCTACTCTTGAGTAGAGTCTAGGAAGGATGGTGGCTGGTAGCCCACGGTATGTCGATGATCCGCAATGTGTAGATGAGCTATAAATCAGCAGAGAGCGCCTCAGTAGAGTCTGAGCCAGTGTGGCCGGTGATGTATCTGCTCGATCGAAGTCAAGCCCGGGTTTTGGAAGGGTCAGAGGTGAAGGCGCATCTATCAGCACCCTGTGACTGAGTGTCACTGTGCAGCTTTCATTGCAGGCTTACGCCGATCTTCACTGTCCACACACCCTGGACTGAAATATTGTCGACGTGGTCATATTTAAGCAAACAGTGAAAATCTGGTTTCTATTTTTTAAGCATTCATTCCTTCCATTATATAATACATACTGTACTGCCTTTTTACTCTGCTATTCAGCTGGATATCCACACTGTCACACAGCAGAATCTCAGTAGGAAGTGCCCTGATTTCTCAATAACTAGAAAAAGCAAACCGATAGAGACTGCTACATTATATTTAGGGGGATCATTATTTCTGTGCTCTTTCTAAAGATGATATAAAAATTCTTCCTGTGTATATCTCCCCAATATATGGAGGCTTATTTCTGTGTATGCTATTTTTTTTTTCTCGCATTGGGCAGGTAGCTCTTCGCTGTAGGGTCCCGTTGTCCGAAAGACACCATGGTTTATGTAGCTGTACGCTGTTAGCATGTCCAAACGACAGGCGGGGGAGGGGGATACTTTCCGGCTCTTTCCTGTCAGGAACGTGAGCTTTCTGCTGGAGTCTCCAGCTACTAGCAGGGGTTCCAGTCAGCGCGATGGCTTCCGCGTCGGGGCTTTCGAAGGCTCCCGGTGTGCGAAATCCCCACCCTCCATTTGTCGGCCCCCAAATCCTACACGTCAAGTTTTAACAAGGAGCGGTTCGATATTTGCGAAATAAATAACGACTTTTTGTAAGACAAAAGTCTTTTGAAATCATGAGATAAAGTGGTTCATAAGGCAGACAGACGAAAATAAAACGGCAGAGGCAGAGACTCACGCCAAGGAAAGATTGTGGATACATGCAAAGAAAAAAATAGAGAAAAAGGAGCCCAATTGAAGACTACAGAAAAACAGTAACAAAGAGAAGCTTAGCTGACGATTTCTTCCCTCTTTCTCCCTTTTCGTGGCAGGCTGGCTGGGGAAAGACCCGGTTTATCCGCACTGTGTTTGATGTGGGATTTTTGTGTGGGCGCAATTGGTCCAGGGAGAGTTTGTTATCTGAAAGAAATTGTTGTAGGAACGGCTCGAGCATCTCGATCCCCAGGGGGTCTCCTGCATTGACAGAATCCGCAAAACAAGCGGAAAAGCTGTTTAACATGCGAGCCGTTTCGAGGCAGAGCCCCGGCGTTAATTATCAGTTTTTTAGCCGGGGTCTGGTGGCAGTGATTAGAGCGAGGGGTTTCAGAGCGAATGTGCGAGCCGGCGTAATGAGGAGAAGGCCGGCCCCACGACAGCAAGCTGCAGCCGCTTGATCTGCTCTGTGGCTGCGTCGGGCATTTCACGGAGCTGCTGCTGGAAGATAGTGAGATTGAATAAAAGTGTGGGGGGGGGGGGGGGTCGGGGGGTTAAAAAAAAAAGGGTGAACTTGCATTAACTGGTGAAAAAGCAGGCGCGCCGGGTGAAAGAGAATCATCTCTGTATACGGCAGGCCGCCGGTTCATCAGTGGGCTGGATTTAAGATGAATGGCACGAGGAGAAGTTTGGCTGACAGTGCAGTGGGGGCTAAATTGATTGTTATTAATCCATTAATCATATGTGGGCCATTTTTTTCATGAAAGATTTGAGTGCAAGAAAAATGCACTATTCTTTCCCTTATTAATTCGTGTTTATTTTTACCTTTTAAGGGATCAGTAGCAGAGGTATTAATGTCACAATATTATGACTATGTGATTAAAAAAAAATCAATTTAAAAAAAAAAAAAAAGAATTCCAACTCACACCAGTTGATATGAGTAATGAAGATTTTGACAATTAATATGATGGATGGCTCCCAAAAAGAGACCCAGATGAAGGGGGGGGGGGGGGGGGGGGGTTGCACCCATACAGATAGAAAGACACCATCTGGTGCACGAACGTGAGAAGTTCTGCGATGGACTCCCCCGATTTGAGTGACTACAGGTGAAGTCGGGCCTTCCCGCACGTGCCCAACCCCCTCGACAGGAGTGCTTTCCAATCGAGAGAAATCCAGATAAACGACAGCCCATAGATGTGCTATGCCTTCAGAAATCCAGATAAACGGCAGCCCATAGATGTGCTATGCCTTCAGAAAGCCAGATTTCTCAGTGTGGGCAGGGGCATTACACAGTGACCTCAAACCTCAAAAGAGAGGCTAAGCTATGCTTGGTATGTAAGGGAGTGTTACCGTAAGATTCAGCGCTGGGGCCCCACGGTGACGTCCCTGAGCAAACTGTCCCCAAAGAATCAGCACTGATTGAAACACACAGGCTGTGCCTCCATAAGAGGAGCTAAAGCACCGGCTGGAACGGCGGGGCCTCGAATTTCGCCGGTCGCGTATCGATATATTTATGGAGCGGGCAGCAACACAGTGCGTGGATAATTGGCCAGGGCAGCTCGAGTCAGACGGCCGTGTAGCGCCGCGCGGAGGCTAAAGGCCGTGACTGACCTGGGTGCCGTCCAGCGTGCGTGTCCCCGCACGCGATCCGGCGAGACGGCTCTAATGCCCGGGCTCTCCGTCCTGCTTCCCCCTCTGCTGTCTGAATGTGTGTGCTTTTATTTAGCGGGAGCTGTCATTTTACATAAACCCTTTGCAAGCTACATCCATCGCCGCTGCCAACTCCTCTGTATCAGGCACTTGTTACAGGGGAGAGAACTGACAGTTCTGCTCAGACCGTCCTGTCTCGCCGGGAGAGAAGGCACTACAGAGAAACCGTTAACTCTTCCCTGGGAGGCCTGGACACCTCCATGCCTGTGCTTCTTCTCTCATCAGTCATTTTCTGTTTTTCATAGGGTTGGTAGCCATCTCATTCTCTGAGGCAGGTGTGTAGCGTTTAACATGCTTTGGGTTCTACAAGTACAGCTACTAGTTCAACGGTCAGGGATATAACTGAGGGTTCCAGTGGGTAACAAGATTAGCCGTCTGTGCGACAAAGTATTCCATGAGCTATATTACTATAAATAATGCATCCTCCTCTGCACTGCTCATTGAGTCGTACAGTTATTGTGCTACTGACAATGTAGGTTAGGGGTCCTGGGGAAAAAAAAAAGTCGCAGAAAGAGAGGGCTGTGGAACTGCTTTGGGGAGTTCAGTCGGTCTGCTGTGATAGCAGCGCCTGAGGCACCCAAGGCTGCATCACCCTTGCTAAGCCGCACATGCTCAAAGTCGTGCTGGTGAGAAGTAGACATTATTTCATTATGAGGCTCACAACACACCTGCAAGACGCCAGCCGAGGCCGCGAGCCTGGACATCTTTTGGACCTGCTTCCGTGTTCTTAATCCCTCTAGTTTTTTCGTTGAGAGACCCAACTCACGCCAAACCCTACTGATGTAAGAACAGTGTCCGTATTGCCGTAGACGGACATCAGGATGGGTACAGATGCAGGGCATTCCTGGCAGTCACCCCAATCTGAACTTCCCCATTTTTTAGGCGATTACTCTGGAGGGTAAACAGGCGCCTGCTTGACGGTTAACGTGTGCAATGTTCCCACCCCAGCCAGTCCTCTCTCGCCGAAGACGTGTTAATAAGCACCTCGGGCCTGGCATTTTGCTGACGCGCTGACAGAAGGTCACCACATCTGTCAATTTCCATTTGACGCGTAATAATTGTTTGATTATTTTATTTATAGATGGAGCTTAAAAATGTATGAGGTACACGGAGGGGGAAAAATAACATCTTTTTCAGCTGTCAGCCGCCCGTTCCCTCCACTAGCACCAGGAAATTAGAAGGACAAATGTTTGACAGTCCAATTTTACTAAATGCAACCACACCATTTTTTTCCCCTCATGTGGTCCCTCCACCCCCAAAGCCATTTTCAAGAACAAGCATATTTTGTCCCTTTTTGTTGAGTGGCTGCAATATGTGGCGGTTGCTTGGTCGCTCTTAGATTCTCCTCCACGTTCACTCACCTCTCACCCAGTCAACCCTTATTGCCTCATCCGGTGCAGAAGAAATCTTGTGAGACAGTCACCTTGTACTGATCCAGTGACTTGGCTGATCTAAGGCAGGCGGTGACACTGTACTAACAGAGGATTAGTGGAGTGATGGGGAACAATGGCATTGCTTGGGGTTTCAGGAAACTCTCTCGTTGGGGCGGCACTGTAATAAGATGCTCTCTGCTCAGTTCCCTGCATCAGCCTGGACCGGTGCCTCTGCTGTGTGATGGGACTCGTGCGCCAGACAGGAAGGATCCTGCCGGCGGCTCTGGTCTGATCTCCGTGGGAAGAGGGAACATTTACACCTGCTCCCGCTGCCATGTGTTGGGGGTGTGTGTGGGGGGGGGGGGGACAACCGGTGACGTATCCTTTGTCCTTGTACGACACCCAGCCTTCTGCGATCGGGCTGCCGAGAAGCCAGGTGCTGTCAGGTGACCATAGTGGTTATACATCATTGATGTCAGTCATTGATGACTCTTTCTCCCATGCATCGATTGGAAAGTCACCATAGAACTGAAGCTTAGGGGCAAATCAATGAGAACCGTGATTCTCCTTGAATGCTTCAGCAGGGTGGGGTCATGTAACCCCCCCACCAGCCTCCTTTTGATTCACTGTTTTGTTTATGATGGTACATACTAAAGAGAGTGGTACCATGCTCAGCTGCAGGCTAGAGATCCATTATCCATGTAATTTCTGTAGAATTTCCATATGGTGCCATAGCAAAACTCAACCGGGTAAGCGGTTGTGGAAAATGCATTAATGAATGGAAATCCGTAAGATGTTGTTTTGTTGCACAGGTTAACGATCAAGCTATAGACCATTAGAACAGCATTAAAAAGATCAGACATTGTTCACTATGGAACATTTAAAAGATCACCAGCATCAAAGGTATCATAAATGGAAAGATAGAAACCTTGAGTACAATTCATATCTCATTTAAACTCCATTGAGAATCCTACGTTTTATCATCAACGTTAGGAAGACATCTGCGTTGGGAGAGTATGTTGTTCCCCCATTATAAACAGTGCATAGATTAAATGTCTCATAGCACAGTGGTCTAGCAGAGTATTATAAATCTGGAAAAATTCAAATTGGCCGGTGGGCATTGTGCTCTGGCTCTACTCTTGAGGCACTGGCCATGTCTGATTTAAGGTGAAGTGTGATTATTTTAATACAGTATTTGTGTACTGCTTTGGGTATATTCTCCAGTAGGAACATGTGGTGCATCTGTGCCTTCACCTGGATCAAAAGCCTCCACAGCCCAAGATGGGAAAGATATTTACATTTGTTAGCAAGATAAGGGATTAGAAAAGGCAGGTTAATTAAACTTGGTTTAATTATAAGTTTTATGTTTTGATTATTTTTTTTGGGGGGGGGGGGGTTGGGGGCATGTATTTTTTTGTCTTTAATTATGCCCTCAGTGAGATATATATTATATAATTATATATCTATATAATATTTTGATACTTGATGAGAGATCAGTGAGTGCATGCTGGAGGGTCACACTATGCTAACGGCTATGGAGAGATGGAGTTTGCAGTCTGTATTCTGTTTTCCTACGATTCCTAAATCTGTGTAGGAGGTATATTGATTTCTGCTGACCCTTACGTAAAGGTCAAGAGTAGCCTGCTACGAACATGCCCCGAACTAACCTTCGACCTTTGTTCCTGTGGTGGTGAGGCTCGCAGCCTTTTAGGGTAACCGCGAGAAAGCAGAGCTTAAAGCTGCAGCACTGCCTGTCATTCCGTTCCTGAAACAAACACGCAGTGGGGGTTGGAAGGGGTACGGTGGGGACGTGTTGCACAGGAAGACAGCACTAAAGTGGACCATCACGTTGAGGGTGAAGCAGCAGAACTGTAAAAGATGAGGATTTAGTTCCACCATGTATGTCAGAGGTTAGGATATTATGTTTCATGCAGCTGGGTTTTGCCATCATTATCTATTTACTTAAAATCCACAGAGATGCTCAGGTTTTTTTTCAAACGCATACAAACAGAATTCTTATTCTAAACGTCTGTGTGTGTCTGTCTGTGTGTGTGTGTATGTGTTTGTGCATATAATGATGTTTAGAATAAGAATTGTTTGTATGTGTAAAAATTATACACACACACAGACACACATGATTTTCTGTGGTAAACCAGCCACAGTATCATTGCTAATATTACATTAAACAAAAGGAAGCCAGAATTACAAGCATACTACACAATTCCCTGTCTCATCTAGCTAGTCCAGTAGACATTCCTGTTAAGTCATAAAATATCTAAAATAGAGAAATTACAAAAATAAATACCTTTAAGTGTACTATATATACACATTCTTTTGAAATGCCCACGCAGTATTGCATAACAAACACGGGTCTGGTCCTTTCTCAGCAGCTTATAACAGGCCTGCGTATCAGTTCAGCCTTACTGGTGGCCAGGAATCAGCCTCCCATCTGCTAGTCCAATGTGCAAACAAGGCACCAGGACCGAGGTCGCGCTTCTGATTCATTGTTTGGAAACCACTCTGGTGAAATAACGGGTCAAGTAAAGTATAGCGGGCTGGGCGCTAGCAGCCAGTGGCGCGGTGTTACGGGAGCCGCCTTCGGGGATCCGCGGGAATTCCTGCGCGTTATTCGGCATACCTGCCCTGTGGGGGTCGCCCCTCTAAACTGCCCACGCTTTCGCTTCCGTATAAAATAAATAAGTAAATAAATAAAAACTAGATCAGGGTGGCTCGGCCGTCACCCCCACACCCGAGATGCGCAGCCTTATTCGTTGTGCCGAAACAACGTGACTAATTAAGTGCCCTTAGCAAGCGCTGGATTCCCTGATAGCCGTAATCGCGAAGTGGGTAGATTTCACAGCAAACGGTGCTTTAAAAACACGGATTATACAAGTCATACTATTATGTACGAGTACGCAAGGTTATATGTGTAATGTCAGTGATTAGAAGTGTGTTTTTTTTTAAAGAATTCAAATGTGATATTGTTACATAAAAAAACACCTCCATTCTTACATTTTATAATATCTTTGCATAACGAGGTAAACCGTAGTGAGGCACTATCAAACGAGTGGCGGCGCAGGGCTTTTTACAGCGGGGTAGGAGCCCTTCTGGGGTATAGTTTAATAACTCATTATATTCCTGTTTGAACACCGGGGTTAGCCCATGACACTCGGCAAACGGCTTTCCCCGCGTCCTACAGCTTTCTAAACATTAGTTACCCATTGCGAGTGATTATTAATACGCAGCTGCCCTCTTGCTTTGTTCTCACTAACAGCATTTCAGACGCTGACGCGGGGGTGTTGGCTCGTTCATTCCTACGGTATTATTGCACGCTGTGTTTTCTACAGCATGCGGCTGGCCAACGCTGTTATTCCTAAGTTAAGTTAAACCCGTAGCTGCACAAGGTCATGGCTTTTGTGTGCTTCTAGTGTAAAATCATGATCGTTGGTTTTTTTTTTTTGGTTTTTTTTTTTTGCCTGATTGTTTATTCTGATTCTTTTTAGTACGTTCATGCATTACATACATTTCCTGCACACCTTACCATCTGCATTTTCCCAGCACGTTCATGGAAATCTGTTTAGTAACACCATCGCTGACCTTCAGACCCCACAAAGCACTAAAATATATGCTGAAAGTCCTGCAGATCACATTTGCATATATCAATAGGGGCAACTAGTACAGTGATTAAAATGACAGTGTGGAGTATACAGATAACTTACCACTGCATTTTAAATGTTAAATCACATATACATGAAAAGTTAGTGTCAACCTCTTGGATGCCCTGCAGACTTTATATGAGGATAATATACATATGCATACATTCACACAAGGTGAAAATTACAATCAGAGAATGTTCTGGAGTGAATGGGTGAAAAGGAATTCTTTTGAGTGGAAGAGGACAGCTTTTATTTCCACTTGTTTGATTACTGTCCCAGTAATTGCATTTGCTCGATAATAAAAATGATGACTTTCATAGCACCTTGTGATTGATGTGAAGGCTTTTCAAAGCGTCAAGGTATGTCATGCTGCGGACTGCAGCACCAGCTCACAGGGTTAAGAACTGACATAATTGTTGGAAATTACAGTGTGTGTGCCCCATTCCTCACCTTCTGTGACACTCAGAGAAGAGTGACTGGTTATTCCAAACCATTTAGTGGTGGTATATGCATATATATTTTATGCCTATTTATAGGCATTTTTTACTATTAACATTAACCCTAAATTTATTACTTTAGCAGGTACCATTTACAGCTGTCAGACTAGTTATTATTGGATAACTTGTTAAGATTGTTATACAATGCATAGAGTATATAGGTTATTCAATAAATATATTTTTAAAAGTTCTGGATTGTGTAAAATCATTTTGATATTAAATACTTCTGTGAGTTCTGTGAAAGAAAATCTTAATAGTAATACGAGTTCTTTTCTGTGGTTTATAATGATATTGTAATGCCAAGAGAGAAGTTGCAGTGAATAGTTTAGGCAAGGAAGTATACTGAAATTTGTTTTTCTTTTAACTTTATGCAGACACTTCCTGGGTTATGATGGTCTGTGTTACTTCAACTTTACAATGGGTATGATTATTCAATAAATTACATGAGATATTCAACATTTTATTCTAAAATAGGCTTTGTGTTAATGATTTTGCCCAACTCTAGGCTAATGTAGGCTAGGCTAGGCTATGATGTTTTCGCCTTACGATTTATTTATTATGGTTTATTAGAACGTAACCCCATCGTAACCCAGGGAGCATCTATACTATAAAATGATCGTCTACTCTGGGTTTGTCCTTTCAACAAGGGAGCCTTGTTGTGCTTTTAATATCACTTAAGTGAGGCTGATTGGCTAATAGAAATGTCTCTGATGTTTGAATGGTTAACCTTCAACATTATATAGGAGTCATTGCAAAAAGAAACCATACCTTACTGTGTTCTGGCTCAGTGGCAGTGGATCTAAGGATTCAAATGGAAGTGTGATGGTTGGGGTGTATAATTTTGGGTGTTCTTATGCTATGCCGAAGCTGGCGCTGAGTACGTGTCCTTCAGACTTTTGCATGGTATTGCTAAATAGTTTATTGGATCTTAACGTATGGCAGAGGGAGTTACACATTGTAGCACCTGTATGGGGTTTATGTGTGGCTCAGTAGTGTTCCTGGAGCAGTTTTACTGAATAGGTCTTTTCTTCCTTACTGTTAAAAGACATGGAGAGGTGATTACCATTTATATTTGGGTGTTTTTATCTAACCTGTAAGAGTAGTTGGTGTGGCACAGTGTAGGTATCTGTGTTCATTTTTCTGGAGTGGACCCAAGAGGCAGCTCCGGAGTGCTAATCAGTCTCACGAAATTGCCTGTGTTTCTCTCCACGCGGTTAGAAAGCCAGATTTACATCTTTTCGCCATTTAGACATTTTTCCTCCCCCTTTCCTCCCCTGATCAGCAGCAGGTGTCATACTGTCTCACCCAGACCACATGAATAGTTGTTAAAGGTTTCTGCGTGTTTTTAATTGGTAATGATACAATTGCAATATTCCAGGGATGCTGCATAAAAGCTGTTATTTTAGCTTTGAGGTTCTTGTTTTTTTTCTTCTTCATTTCTCCTTAAGATTTAGCATTACTGCATCCATCAGTGATGATTACTGAGGTTAGCTTTCTTAAGGTTTTAGTGTAAGATTCCCTGGGATGGACTGCCATCCCATCTGGGGTGTTGTCCTGCCTCGTGTCCTGTGCTGCCTGGAATAGGCTCCAGCTGCCCCCTCCCCCACCCCCATGTGACCCTGTACCGGATAAGCTGTCGGAAGGATGAATTTCTCCACGGACGAATCATGTGTTTCCTCTACAAAACAGAGGCTGTGGGCCTGTACGCGCTAAAAGGAAGGCTCGCTAAAGCAAACGTGCTGCTTGTTCTCATGAAGATGGGAAGCTCCGGAACGGAGGTTGTGTTGGTGATTAGGTTTGAAGTGGAGGAGGACTGCTGGTTGGCATGCGGCCGCTTACCAAAGAGGGACATGTGAGCGCTGGAGCAAGTCTGATTACATGCTTGGCAGCATCGCCTGGACGGGGGGGCCGGCTGGCACTGAAGTGCAGCACACGTGACTCAAAAAAGGAAAAAAAAAAAAACATGCACCCAGCATTTTTATATTAGGTTCAGCAGGATTAATTTTATGTAATAATGCATGATACAGGTGAGGCCCTTGCATTTGGTCCCAGCAGCATGGGGGAATGAGACTGCAGGTACAGTGCTGATTGCAGAACTGGGGACAAAATGCAAAGGTAACCGTGAGTGGAAAATGATGGCTGGAATTGAACTATTTAAGGTTTTGAAAATGGAAGCTCTGTAACTGGCTTTAGATAAAACTATCCATGTGCCCTATCAATTCATCTTGCAAATGCTTATCCAGTATTGGGTTATGGGGGTTGAGCGTATCCCAGGCAGCATAGGGCACGATGGTAAAAATGGAAAAGGTGAATATTAAAGATTATTATTCAGTGAGGAGCAATGTGGCCTGACAAGTTCAGGGCTGAGGGTTCGAATTCCTCCCTGGTTGTGTGTGCGTGTGTGGTTTGCGTGTTCTTCCCCTGTCACGTGGGTCTCCCCCCGCAGTGCACACACATGGAGGCTGACTGGCTTTTTTGGAATTGCCCATAGCGTGTGACTGTGTGTGCCCTGCGTTGGACAGGCATCCCTTCCAGGGTGTAACCCTGCCTTGTGCCCTGTGCTACCTGGGTAGGCTGCAGGCTCCCCCCCCCCCTGCAAATCTGACCAGGATAAGTGGCTAGAAGATGGATGGATGAATTAGTCGGATGCAGGAAATGGGTTGCAAAAAAAACGCTGCCTTCTCTCAGATAGACAGCATGGTTGCTCTGCCATCTGTTTAACAGCAGATTTTTTGCATGGGTAAGAGTGGCATCCAAATTCCCCTTACTGTGGGTTACTGTGACACTCCTCTTGGCTCCAGAACTTCATGGGCACATCACTAGGACATTTCAGAGTAGCGTCCCCCACTTGCAGAGTAAGGTCTCTGCACCCTGGAGGGTGTCAGTTCTCCCCTGGCCCAGGGCCCATGATCCACATGCCTGTGAGAGCGTGTCACTGCCTTTGCCCTGTTACTGTCCATGTTCAGCCCCAGGAAGGTAGCCTCTGCCTTCTGTCCTGTTCTAAAGCCGCCTCCCCAGAGACTAGCTGTCAATTAACGTGATGTTTGTAGAGGAGTTGATTAGGCACATGTTGTTACATTGTGAAATGATAAGCATTTGACTTTTCCATTTCCACGGGGCTCCCTTATTCTAGCCCACCAGAATCCTAATGTGTGGGTACAGATGGAACACAGGTGCAGGAGAGAGCTGCCGCTGAGTCTCTCGTCACCTTTCGTCTGACTGGCCCTTAGAGATCACGCACCTCCTTTGAATGGCACCTGCTGCTTAATTCTGGATTACCGCTTCTGTCCTTCCACCCACCACGGGACACGGATAATTGGGCGTAAGGAAGGCTCATCCGTGCTCGACGCACGACGGCGACTAATGCATAGTTTGCCGTCCCTCTCTTTTCGCGTCCCTCGTGCTGAGCGTGCTGGTTTAATAGCTACGGGTATGGAAAACGCCGGCGTGTCTTCGCTGCGGCTGGAAGAGTGAAGACTCGCCTGCAAAAAGAAAGGAGGACATGGAATGAAGTTAAGCGGGGTCACAGAAGTGTCCCCGGGCCTCGGGAAGATTCACGTTGATTAATCATGATTCAGTTTTTAATAGCGCATGAAGCAGTAATGAATTCTAAGGAAGTAATAATGATTCATGTACTGTTAACTCAAATTTACTAAAATATCAAAAGTCAGATTAATGCCAAATGCTTAGGAAATTCATCATATTAAGTTCCCTGGTGTTCATAACATTTCTTCCTTT